CGCAAACGATCTTGCCTCACAAATCTGCTTCTTGCTCGGGATTCATGGACCAAAGCGCTTGATGAAGGATCCCCCCTTGATGTGATTTACCTAGACTATTCGAAGGCATTCGACAGAGTCAATCACTTAGCTCTGCTTCATAAGCTTCGTGCCTACGGTATCCATGGTTCCCTATTCACCTGGCTAGCAGCATATTTGAATGACTGAACGATCAAGGTCAGAGTCGCCGATGCCCTCTCAGAAACCCTCTGCATCTCCAGCGGTGTTCCTCAAGGATCCGTCCTTGGTCCCCTCCTTTTTCTGGTATACATTAACGACCTCCCGGATAATATTCAATCCTCGATGCAAACTTTTGCAGATGACGCAAAAATCTGGAGAGTTATTGGCTCAACATCAGACTATGCCCTCCTCCAGAATGATTTGGATCGAATCAACAAATGGGCAGACATAAACCACCTCCCCCTGAATCTTGCCAAGTGTCACCTACTGTCATTGCGCAGCAATCTTACCAACACGTACCTCTTGGGGCAGTACGTGTTACGGCGCGTGACCACAGAAAGAGACTTAGGTATCATTGTGCGAGAAAGTCTGGGGAATTCGCTCCAATGTTCGAAAACAGCAAACGTGGCGAACATGAATCTGAGACTTTGGAGGCGAGCTTTTGGTGTTTTTGTACGACGGTTGGTACCCATGCTTGTCAACTCCTATATCCGTCCCCACGTCGAATATGCCCTCCAGGCTTAGCGCCCATGGTTAAAACGGGACATTCATCTCTTAGAAAAACCCCAAAGAAGAGCTACGAAGGCAACACGCGGATTATCTGGTCTCAATTATGAAATACGTCTCAGTTTAATCGGAAAGTTTCCTCCGAATACCGACAACTACGCGGAGATCGCATTCTCTCATACCGGATATTAACGGAAAGCGATCATCCGTGCAAATCGCTGCTCACCCTAGCCTCATATAAGCGATTGAGAGGTCATAACCTCAAGCTGATAATCCAACACTCCCGATTAGACTGTAGAAAATATTTTTACTCTCTTAGCATCTGTTCACAATGGAATGACTTGCCAACGCATGTGGTAAACGCTCCGAACATTACAGCCTTCAACCAATTGTTAGACATTCATCTGAGTGACAAACAACACATTGTGGTGTGATGTACTAGGTTTAGACTATTGGCATTTCAGTTCCATGTCGGAATCTAATGACTTTTATTTTATTTTGCATTTACCATCCTATGGGTCTTGTAACGCCAATGCTTTTTATCCCATCATACACTATTGAACTATTGAACTATTGTATCTATCGGTGTTTAAAATGTGTGCCAAATGGATGACAATTGTCGAACCTGTTGTAGTGTAAGTAAAAGTTTTCAACCCAACTGTACTTGAGCCTATTGTGTTATCTAAAACAATTGAATGCGTAGTTAGAGGACAGTGTTCTAGGTTGCGTAAGGATTTCCAACAGGCCAATCATCTTCAAAGCCCTATGGGTCAGTGCGATATGTACCTAATTCAGTCAACCGCTTCCTTTATAATAACCTCACTTACGCTTACCCTAAAAAACAATCCCGGTTAATGATATTCGCTTTCCGATGGGCTACAGCATGCTACACCAGTCAGTACAAGTCAAGCTAGACCGAAAAAAGGTCTCTATCATAGCCAAACTACTACTCAAAGGACATCAGCTGAATCTTTTAAAACTCTACTCGTGATACTGTGGGCTCGGAATATTGTTCAGATTATCCCAGCTAACTTCCAACTTACCATGAAGTATTTGACGCCTATCAACACACCTCCGATATGTTCTGACACAACGATCGTCTTTAACCTGTGAAAATTTCCCTTTACTGTCTCCTGTAGTTACCGGCAGTCAGGTGCAAACGTGAAGTCAGACGACTTTATTCTGACCGCCACTGATCCAAAACAATCATCACAATCAGTGCAGATTGGACTCCAGATCAAGCCACGAGTCTTGCAAGAAAGCAAATGGAACCAGATGGTTAACTCATCTGTGCTGATTGAGGAGAACAGCACCATCACTTTGCATCCTGCGGTGTTTCCGGACGTGGACAGCAAGGCAAGAGAGGTCTCCCGGCGTTGCAGAGTCTTCCACTCCTCCTATTTTGTTTTTTTTTTCGCTTTTGGCATTTTTTATTTTCTCTTGTGTGTCTTTTCCGCTGTTGGATTTGTTTGTCTTTGAGAGAGAGAGAGAAGAGTCTTTTTCTTTTTTTTCTGTGGGATACTTTCTCATTGTCTTCCCAACCAAAGGCCACCTTGAGCTGGGGGCGAGTCGCCGTGTGTCCCAATTCAGTCATGCGGATGTGAGCAAAGGTCGATTAGTCTACCGGCACGGACCGGCCGAGATCGGACTGAAGCCTGCGTTCGACTTCGCTCGCATTTGGGATTTTAGCGCGGGGACCACTTTCAGTTTAAATTTTACCTTGATACCAGTCAATAGCCAATCTCCAGTGGTGCGCGCCGAGGCGCCAATACGAGTGAGAACTCACTGAGGTTGTTTTATCGTTTAGTATGCACACCGTGATTTTAAACTGTCAACTGTTTTTAACCTGTTCATACTTCATTCATGCAGCAGCTCAGCAAACCCAACCGAAACGCCAAATAGCAGATTCTGCACTCTAAATGTTATTTGCTGGTTAAGCAATTCATTTCAAAAGCGGAATGCTTGGGACAGCCAAAGTTCGAACAGTATTAGAACATTTCCACTATACTCCATTTGTGTTTAACTGAAACCATGGATGAAGTGAAAATTTATGCGCTAAATCATGCACTTGTTGTTTAAATCTGTCCGTTTATGATACGTGACATTAGTACACGAACGGCGGGTGTCGTTTATTGTGGACAGCAGCGTGATGCCACTAAAGTTGCTCGAGTGTGCACTGACCTACGAAGATTGAGTTTGAGTGAACTTCACTTCGTTTACACATGCCTAATCCATATGTAGCAGTATGGATTATGGACTAAAATGAATAAAATATTTCGCGATACTTCATCTTTGGTTAAAATGATTTCTACACATAATTACTGCCACAAACTAATTGTGATAACTCTGTGGCAACAGCTACCTAAACCGTTTAAAGCTGACCCATAAACAATACTTTATAACGAGTAAAAGGAGCGGATTATTGACAAGTCTCCTAAGATGACCGGTGCATGGATTACAAAAGTGACACTACAAGAGGCAGTTCTGTTTGGAGGCAAATCACCAAACTATTCGCATAAATACAGATGCAGGTTTTCTCACCGTTACGTTACGGTGAAGGCTGGTGAACATACTGTTTGATTCGCATTATTTCCTCTTCTCATTGAAACTGAGGACACCAGGTAATGCAATTGGAATAACGTGTCGTCAAAGCATTTTTTAAATCGTCCTAGTATTGGGACCAAAACGATCTGAGTTGGGAAACCGTTCCTTGCCCGGCATACCCGAACGGAGCAAGAATGTTATCAGTAATCATTCAACTATAATGTGTGGTAAGGTTGGACTGGTTGATTTTCAGGTTAGTATTTCGTCTGAGTCGCAACGGGTTATGGCATGCGTGATTGAGGTGCGCCAACGTTAGGTAAGCCATAATGAGGGATATTCAAAATATTACAAGCCGAGGGTTTGCCGTCTTTGTTATGGTAGGTGAAACAAGGCCCTGACGATTTTGGTCGTTCCACCTTCTGGAGGTTCAAGCGCATCAGCATCGTGTTTGAGTTCGGGACGCTAAGCTTGGACGTCGTATTCCACACGAGGTCTCAGGTGGGCGTACAGCGTTTGCGGAATAATAGAAGCCTCGAAATTCCCGAACGTCCTCCGTAGGAGTCCAACCTGCTGACCACCTATTCTTGATGCTTTACTGGCCTGTTTCGAACAGCCAAGGTCTTACTGCACAAATACTCCTAAGTCGCCTTCCTGTAAATCACGTTGAGACTGCTGTTCCTCATGTCGGTATTTATGGGTACACTAATAGCTTATGCTCATAACTTTCCGTTTCGGCACATTGTACTAAAGCTGATTTTCCGATGAACACGTATGGGCCCTATCGAGATCTCCCTGCAGTTCCACTTCATCATCCACTGTCTGGATAACAGCCAGGTCGTGATATCGTCTGCAAATAGTAAGAAGTCCCGCCGGATCACACTGGCAAAGTCGTTGATAAATACTAGGAACAGACATGGTACTGATCCTTGGGGTGCACCATACTGTACTTCAATCGCGTCGGAATTGACCTGCGGACTTGCACATTCAGCTGAGGTTGAGTGAGAATGTTGCTTATCCAACCGTGCGCAGGATCGGCGATGCCATAGTTTCGAAGCTTATGGAGAATGCATTAGGGACGTCCAGACATTTGACATCAACTATTCTGGCATCGACTGGGTTCGTACAGCTTGCTCGGGCTATCAGTAACTTCATAGTGAAGGACAGATTTCGGCGGAATCCGTGCTACTGTGCTATTATGATATTATCGACCTCAAGGTCTCCCATTAGTGCCTCTGACATAATAACTATTATAACTTTGGATAACACCGGGGGGAGAATTGTTGAGCGGTAGTCCGAGGGTTCCGACCGAAATGCACTTTTGTCAACAAGATTGGCTACTCCATGATTGCATCACTTTGGCTACAGTGAATGATACTTGACTTAAATCTGGGTCTGGTGTGAGCTTTGTCGAAGATGGGTAAGGGGACGGTTCACTCCGGAAAATACTGGGGGAATGTTGCCGAATCACGTTGGCTGTCGGTTCTGTATTTAACGCTAGATGATCCGCTGCATGTAGAACTTGGATCCCATGCTGCACTCTGCAGAGCTCGTTGACGTGCCTGCACAGCGTCTCAGAATTAATCCTCAATTTCATCGCTTACGTTTGTCCTAGCAGACTAGTTTGGTACAATGTTTTCGTTGAGTTCGTAAGTATCCCAGGCGTTCACACTCAGGCAAACCTTATGAGCGCGCCGGGCAGTGTCCATTAATGCCATGCATTTTCCACTCAGGCTCCTCAAGAAGGAATTTGTTTATTTCGGGCGAAAGACTGGTTTCGATGCACATGCCACTAATGCGATGCACTATGTGATAACCTCTGTCCAGGAGACATCGGGAGAATGCTCGGTTAGGAAAGACCATTTGGTTACTTGAACTAGGTCAGACAGGATATCGTAATGGGTGACGACGTGAGCTTCCTCGATGTTCGCATTGATGGATTCCGCGTACCAGATTTAAGGGAAGAGCAGCGTTGTCTGATCGCCATGGGCCAGGTGGTGTGTCTATGCTTCCAGTATTGACCATCAGTTCCTCGTTGGTAAGCGCACCATCCAAAACAGTTGGTTCGCCACCATTTGTAAATTGCGTGGGAGAAGTGACATACTTGTAAAAGGGTGAATCGGCAATTACCGCTCACAAGTCCGCCTTAAATTGTTCGCTGGGAGAATTGGGACTTGGTTTTCGCGCAGGTTGAACTCGCACAACAGAAAGACATGACTGTATGAACGTTATGAAACACGCTTCAATAAATGCTGGGCTTTGATCTATTTCCAACTTGTACACTAAGGGATATATATATATATATATATATATATATATATATATATATATATATATATATATATATATATATATATATATATATATATATATATATATATATATATATATATATATATATGGTACAATCTGCTTCCAGGCAGTGTGCCACCAGAACCATGGCGAAGAATGGGGAAACGAAATACAGCATGAGAGGAAAACGAACTTTTGGATTCTACACACGCCGTTTTAAGATATTTTTGTGGTTTTATGTTCGTGAGACGTTAACTAATAGATAATGAAGTTGAACAACACTGTCTCCACTGATGTCTGTTGCGCGCCATAGGCTCCATCGTTTCTAACCTTTGGTAGTTGGAGTCGCGTGGCCCTCCTCCTGGAAGGCGGACCGATCCGACGGATGCAAAGCTTGAGATTGCATTCCTCATGCGCTGTGTCCACATCACTTGTAAGTTATCAAATAAACTTCACCACGTCTCAGGTGCAGACAGTACAGAGAATCAACAAAATGCGTTTCTGGAGATGCAGGTCAGGTTGGTAATACAGGATTACCTCGCCTTCTCAGATTAATCGATCATTGGGTATAAAAATCATGCAGAACGGACATGTTAATACATCAGTGCTCTAGGCATTTAGTCACATTTGCTTACGTTGATGACGTCCCAACGCGTTGAAACTTGGCGAATACGAATCCTGTTTAGCTTAATGCGAAGAACTTACGCGTTGGTATAAAAGCAGGTTAAGGCTTCAGAGGTCAGAGGCGTATTTGTGAGTGCGGAGCTAGGATAAGAGTTTATGACGACTCTTGTGGAGTCGAGTGTAAGTCGTTTTTGTTGAACCGCTAACCTAGGTCCAGCAACCGTTCCGGGTTGGTGTTTGGAGTGCTCATTGTCAGCAGGTGGCTGATAACTTGGACTTTCTTCAGTTGGCAAAGTGTTTGAACAGGCTGTGGTTCTTAGCCGCATGCTGGTGGCGTCGCACACGAGGCCTGTTTGTCATGTGTTAGCTTCTCCTTCGATGTCGGGCGGGCGTCCCTCGCCTCTATGCATATTTCGTATGTAGTTAATTGAGACTTCCTTGCAGAAGCTTACAAAGCCGATAGTCCTCTCCAGGCCTGGAAAACCATTTCAACCTGTTGTATCTTATGAGTACATCATGACCGTCCGCCGCTGTCTCCCGTGGTCCAACAACATACGCCGTTAGCTGGGGGTTTAAGATGCTGGGGGTCATATGTTCGGATCCTGATAACTGCGTTGGCTGCACACTACTGAGGAGACACAACAGGTCCTAAGGGCTGTCTAGTGCATTCCGGGCATGTAGAAAACCATCTGATTTGGGAAGCTGCTGCGATGAACACTTATACTTGAGTAGTTTGGGTGGCATCTCTTTTCTTCTTTTGTGTTGCACTTCGAGTAATTTTTAATTATGGGTTTTGACCTCACTGTTACTTTCACCACTCTGGAATCACGCCGGTTGTAGTTGGGCGATAACTGTAACCTTGAGATCCCATTAGCGATTATGTCTTCAAGAGAGCACACTTAAGGGATGGAGCGCCATTCTTCCTAGTCACGCATTCGAAGTTGCCGGAAATCTTGGTTCTCACCGAGAAGACATATTCTGAAGGTGTGCTTGATTCTGCTCAAAGCGGAAAAGCCTCACGGGACCCTACTCCTGTTATCAAGAAGAAAAAGCAGATAAAATCTGCTATAAAGCCTTCCGGTGAAATCGATGACCCTAACAAAAGTAAGACATCGACAATGGAGCGAAAAACATACGCTGCCGTTGCTACATCATCGGAGGGGCTCAAGACAGTCCCATCACCAATAGTGAAGCCACCTGCTCCGAGTGCCGAATCAAAAACCCGTGGGGTTAATACACCCCGTCGTGGCGATTCTTTCACGGATAGTAGCGTTATATTCCGTAACGTGGCTGAATCTACTGCTGTCCTTCCCGCTG